TGAGATGGTGGTGATTGGAAGTACCCTTTCTTGTGCTGGGGTAACTTTAGAGAGAACTTGTAAATTACCCCATGACATGCCATAATTTGCTTTCCTCCCTAAATTTCCCACTGTTATATCCACAGGAACAAAGGGAAAATATGTTGTGGCTGTGAATATTACAGTGTGTGAGGGGAGGGCTGTTTTTAAAAAAATAGATATTTTTCAATTAAAAAAAACTGGTGATTATGTTCACAGGGCAGGCAGACTGCAATAGCCTATTTATTTCTGAAAACTGATATTAAACCATAGCTAAAGATAATGTACAATTTTGTGTATGTACTTATAACCATAATCGTAAGAGAGAGCAAGAAAGAGAATCTGAGGAAGAACACATAATTGTCCCGTTCAATCTTAGAGCTGCTTTTAAAGCTGACAGTGGAAAGTCCCATTGACACGAAGCACTTGAGCTCTCCTTGCTCTAGTTCCTTTATAAAAAGAAGTTAAGCCTCTCCTGCTGAACTACAGAAACATTTTAAGTTAACTAAGGTTTTCCATTTCTTCTGCCACCTCCCGGCTCAAGCCGTGATCACTGTGTGCCTGGAACTGTTGCAATAACCTCATTCAGTTTGAGAGAGAGAGAGAGAGTGAAAGTGTGTGTGTCTGTGTGCGTGTGTGTGTGTGTGTGTGCGCGCGCGCGCGTGCTCACGCTCCTAACCACCCCTGTTGGCAGACCCTTTTGGTCCATCCTACACATCACTGCTGAATTAAACCTCCTCAACATGTCTACGGGCTTATTTTCCTATTCAGAAATCTTTAGGGGCTTCCCATTTTCTAGAGAAGAAAACTAAAATTCTTCAGACTAGCATTAAATACTTACTATGATTTAGTTTCAGCTTAAAATTTTCAACAGTATTTTTCTTTACTCTAGTATACCAAAGTCCCTACACCAGGCAAATATTTCTTCTCTCAGTTCACTCAAAACCTTCATTAAATTAATCACTGTAATTATTATGAACAAACAATTATTTTGCACCTTCATCACCATAGGCTTCCTGCCTTTGAGTCTTTGCTTAGCTTTTTTCTTGACTCTTAATCTCACATTTCTACCCTTTCTATAAAAGGCCCAGGTAAAACATGTCTCTTTACCTCCCACCTACCTCTCCCTGTAGTGATCTCTGTCCTGAGGACTCCTGATTTCCGTGTGCACTCTCAGTATGTCGGTATATCTCCTCCAAGTTGTGTTTTCTGTATATGCATACTTACCGTAGGGTCTGCACCGAGTTGGAATCTTACCAGTTAAATGATTTTTAAATTCTTCTTCCACTTAACATTATATAAACATTTTCATGTCATTAAATATTTTTGAAATGTGGCTTTTAATGGTTTCAGAGATAATCTACATCACATTATTCCACATTGTATTAAGGCATTTACACATAGCTGGACATTTAGGGTGTTCCCATTTTTTTGTATAATATGTAATGTTGTCCTGAACATTCTTACTCACCTCTAATTATGTATTTGAGTTAAATTCCTAAGAATGGGCTTATTGAGAATGCCTTTTATTAGGTTCTTGATCTGCATTTCCAAATTTCCTTCCAGATAGGTTATGCCAATCTTTTTCATCTGTCAGTAGTGTTTGAACATGCCTATTTAATCACTGTCTCATCGGCACTGGGGGGTTATAATTTGCTTGTAAGAAATTTTGTGAATTTGTGTTTGTAAATGAGGTGGTGAAAATGTATCTCATTGTAGGTTTACATGTTCTGTTTATAAGGCCTTTATCAGAGGGGTGTTTGCCAGTATTTTCTCTGGGTCTACAGCCTGTCTTTTCATCAGTTTCTTGACAGGATCTTTCTAAAAGCAGAAGCTCTTAATTTTTTTACTGAACTATTGTTGACACACAATGTTACATTAGTTTCTGGTGAATAGCATAGGGATCCCACAAGTTTATACATTCTGCTGTGCTCACCGCAAGTGTAGCTCCTATCTGTCCCTGTACAACATACGGTATCATTGACTAGATTCCCTAGGCTGTGCCTTTTATCCTCGCGACTCATTCATTGCATAGCTGGAAGTCTGTGGCTCCCACCCCCTTTGCCCATTTTGCGCATCCCCCAACCCCGCCCCTCTGGCAACCTTTAATTTGTTCTCTGTATTTATGGGTCTGGTTCTCCTTTTTGTTTGTTTTGTTTTTCAGATTCCACATATAAGTGAAATCATAGAATATTTGTCTTTTTCAGTCTTATTTTACTTAACATAATACTCTCTAGGTTCATCCATGTTGTTGCAAATGGCAATATTTCATTCTCTTTTATGGCTGAGTAATATTCCATTGCATATATGTACCACATCTTCTGTATCCATTCATCTATGGGTGGATACTTGGGTTGCTTCTGTATCTTGGTGGCTGCATCAATTTACATTCCTACCAACAGTGCATGTGGGTCCCTTTTGGACACATCCTCACCAACACTTGTTATTTCTTGTCTTTTTGATTCTAGCCATTCTGACACATATAAGGTATTATATTATATTATATTATATTATATTATATTATATTATATTATATTATATTTATTATATTATAGTGGTTTTGATTTGCATTTCCTTGATAATTAGTGATATTGAGCATCTTTTCATACGTCTGTTTGCCATCTCTTTGTCGTCTTTGGGAAAAAAAAGTTGGCTTAAGTCCTCTGTCCATTTTTAATTGGATTTTTGGGGGGAGTTTTTGGTGTTGAGTTGTATTAAGTTTTTTTAATATATTTTGGATATTAACTCCTTATCAGATATGTCACTTGCAAATATCTTCTCCCATTCAGTAGGTTGCCTTCTCGTTTTGTTGATGGTGTCCTTCATTATGCAAAAGCTGTATATTTTGGTTTAGTCCCACTAGTTTAGTTTTGCTTTTGTTTCCCTTGCCTGAGGAGATATATCTAGAAAAATGTTGCCACGGCTGATGTTAGAGAAATTACTGCCTATGTTTTCTTCTAGGAGGTTTATGGTTTTCTGTCTCACATTTAGGTGTCTTTCATCTAATTTGAGTTTATTTTTGTGTGAGAAAGTATAAGAAACTGGTCCAGTTTCATTCTTCTGTGTGTAGCTTTCCAGTTTTCCCAACACCAACACCATTTATTGAGGAGACTGTCTTTTCCCATTTTGTATACTTGGCTCCTTTGTCATTGATTAATTGACCATATATGCGTGGGTTTATTTCTGAGCTCCCTATTCTGTTTCATTGATCTTATGTGTCTGTTTTTATGCCAGTACTACATAGAGCTTTGTAGTATATCTTCACATCTGGGATTGTGATACCTCCAGTTTTGTTCTTCTTTTTCAAGATTGCTCTGACCATTCAGGGTCTTTTAAGGTTCCATATAAATTTGAGTATTATTTATTCTAGTTCTGTGAAAAATGCTGTTGGTATTTTGATAAGAATTGCCTTCAATCTGTAGATTGGTTTGGGTAGTATGGACGTTGTAACAATATTAATTCTTCCAATCCATGAAGGTAAAATATCTTTCCTTTGTGTCTTCTTCAGTTTCTTCTGTCAATGTCTTAATAGTTATCAGAGTTCAGGTCTTTCACCTCCTTGGTTAAATTTATTCCTAGGCATTTTATTCTGTTTGGTACAATTGTAAATGGAATTGTTTTCATAATTTCTCTTTCTGCTACTTTGTTATTAGTGTATAGAAATGCAACAGATTTCTTTGTATTAATTTTGTATCCTGTGACTTTACTGAATTCGTTTATTGCTTCTAATAGTTTTTTGGCAGTCTTTAGAGTTTTATATACATATAATATATATATATATAATATGTATATATAACTTTTATATATATGTGTATAGTATCGTGTCATCTGCAAATAGTGACAGTTTTACGTCTTTCTTACCAATTTGATTGCCTTTTATTTCTCTTTCTTGTCTGATTGCTGTGGCTAGGACATGCAGTACTATGTTGAATAAAAGTGGTAACAGTGGACATCCTTGTATTGTTCCTGATTTTAAAGGAAAAGCTCTCAGTTTTTCACCATTGAGTATGATCTATTGAGATGATTGTATGACTTTGTATCCTTCATTTGGTTAATGTGGTGTATCATGTTGATTGATTTGTGAATAGTGAACCATCCTTGATTGATTGAATCATCCCCAGAACAGAAGCTTTTAATTTTGATGACGTTCAGGATCAAATTGTCATGGAGTTTGCTCCTGGTGTGTTACCTAAGAAATCCTTGGTTAGCCCAGAGTCACAAAGATTTTCTCCTGTGTTTTCTTCAGAAGTTTCATAGTTTTAAGTTTTTATAGTATGATTTTTTTAATTAATTTTTGCACATGGTATGAGATATCAATTGAGGTTCGTTTTCTCGTGATAATTAATAAAAGATCACAAATCTTTCCAGATAAGGAAATTAAAATAACTCTCTATCAAAGATATGTTTATTGTTTGAAAAAGAGAGCAGTAGTTTGCCTTTAAGGTGATACATAGGAAATTATTGCTTCTGGCTCATGTCTTGAGTCTAATTTGGGTCATAACTCAGATGAGTGGATGAGTGATTATTGGCAGAAACCCATACATTGTATTACCACTTAGGTTATTTGTTTGGGAGCTAGATTTTTTTATTTCACTTAAGCGACTAATGTAATTGTGTTAATTAAAATATTTATTTAAACAAGCATTTTTGAGATTTAAGGAATACAAGGCACTATACTTCTTGGACAGTATGGGAAGATAATTTCTCTGCAGTCCATGAATAACCTGTATGCAATTAACATCTGATTTCTAGAATGAAAGGAAGTCAAAGTAATTAGCTTTCTTGAACCATAAAATTATAAGGAACATCTGTCAACATTGAGATTTGGGCCCTTGGGAATGTACTAATAAAGATTATTAAAGGAAAGATGTGATAAATAAGGTTTTATGGTGAATATAGCTTGGAGTTATTTGTTAAATGAAAAGTTTCTCAGTAATTGGCAGGGCCACCAAAGCCTTTTTATCACCTGTTTTTCTCTGTAGGTCATCAACTCAATGAGCTCCCTTTCTGAATACTGCCTGCCTTCCATTCTGCGTACATTATTTGACTGGTATAAAAGACAAAATGGCATTGAGGATGAATCACATGAATACAGGCCAAGAACAAGCAATAAATCAAAAAGGTACATTTCTTTTGTGTAGGAATTATGAGGTTCTCCCTCCCTTCCTTCCTTCCTTCCTTCCTTCCTTCCTTCCTTCCTTCCTTCCTTCCTTCCAGAAACATAAATCAAAATGGAATTTATGTATCATCTAAATCTGCCTGTCTGTACATGGATACCTAGCAGGTGCTGCAGGGGGCAGGGGGAGAGGGGCTGTCTAGCAGTGGGAGTACTAGTCACGGCCACTTGTCACAGGTTGAAAAGATATACTCAGCCTTATTTTGACATTGATGGGGCAGGTGTAAAGGGCCCTGAGTTACCCTTGTGTCTGCTTCTTTCCTGAGCCCTGTCTCTTCCAGTGTATACCCTAAAAGCAGAAGGGCTGTTGCAGGCCCGGCATGATGCCGCCTCGTTCCTGCTAGTAACCTTGAGTGCCCAGGGTGCCCAGGTGGGGAGGAGGCAGGGTGGGACATCAGCAGTAGGCCTGGAGCTGCCACAAATTAGCCCTGGGACTTTGGGCAACTCACCACCTCTCTCTACTTTAGTCTCTTCAGAAGCAAAACAGGGAAGTCAGATTACACCATCTCCAACTTCCCTTGCAGCTGAGAATTTTGTTTGTTTATTCTGTGCTCCCCTTCTCTTATGGATTTGAAAAGTGGAACTTGCTGCTATAGAAACACTGTAGCAACCGTGAAATTTAAGATTCTTATACTGTCAAATGAATGTGCATCCCCCAAATATTTATGTAAATATATGTAATTCATATGTTTGAAATATAAGTAAGTATAAGAAAGTGTGCTATATTTACCTTTTAAAAATTATTTTAAAACAGACTTCTCTGTATGAACTGATTATGCATTTTTAAAGAGAATAAATGGAAATGAATCATTCAGAAAATCAGATATTAACTACTTCTTGTGATTTATCTCATTTTTCTTGACACTTCTAATACTTTTTTTTTAAATATCCACTTCTCAATGTCATGAAATGAATTACATTTCATCCAAACTTGTAATTTCATTTTATAATATGCTCAAGTTTATGCAAGATTCAGTCATTTATTTATCATCTTGTTTGGGAGAGAAATGAATAACTTTTTCGTATTGAATCATTTTTTTTTAGTTGAAGAGAGGAAACTTTTTATTGCAATATAATGTACACATGGCAAAATTCATTCTTTTAAACTGTGTAGTTCTGTTTTTAGTATATTCACAAGGTTGTGCAGTCATCACTACTAATTCCAGAATAGTTCAGCTCTCCAAAAAGAAACCCCACATTAATTAGCAGTCTCTTCTTACACATATTTTTTGATGTATCAAATTTTAAAGGTAAAATCTTAATTCTGTGTCTGAAAATGGTTCAGACTGTATAATTACTAAATTAATGGTGTTAGGGGTGCCTGGGTGGCTCAGTCGGTTAAGTGTCTGACTTTGGCTCAGGTCATGATCCCAGGGCCCTGGGATTGAGCCCATGTCTGGCTTCATGCTCACTGGGGAGTCTGCTTATCCTTTGCCCTCTGCTGCTCCCCCCATTTGTGCGTTCTCTCTCTCTCAAATAAATAAATAAAATCTTTTTTTAAAAATTAATTAATTAATTAACTAGTGGTATCATTTTATTATTCTTCCCATATTACATGTTAGTTTATAAACAGATATTAAACTTTTCCTGGGGGGTGAGGAATGGGGCTGTTTTAGTGAGTTGAATTAATTGAGTCTTAGTTTTGTTTCTCTGTTTTGTCAGAATGTAGTTACTAAAACTGAATTTATTTTCATGAATTATTTTCTTTTCATGAATTTATTTCTTTATGGATTGGAAAATAATATTTTAAAAATCAGATTACTGATTGTTTTTAGGAGATGAGAGTAATTGTCAAGATCAAACATGGCATCAGGACAGTGAAATTCTACTCAGCAGCATTTAATTAACATTTGGGAGTTCAAAATAAGAATGTATGTTTGGGAGAAAGCCAAAACAATGAGGGTGTCTAGAGCATGATGTAGGTAATAATGAGAGTTTCTGTTACTAGAAAAAAAGAAAAGAGGAACTTTAGAGAGAAGCATAAGCAACCAAAAACAGTCAAATGTGACAGATGTGTACCAGGGTTACAATTTCTAAGATTAGTATAACATCAACATTTTGACTGCCAAATAAATTTGTCAAATGCTGCCGGCTCCTGGCAGTTAGATCTCAAACCAGCAATAAAGTTGAATTCATTATTGGAAAAGTATAGGTCTTACTTTTATTTGAAAGCATAAATTGACTTATTAAATAGAATCAGGGGTTTAAAGTTTTTTTTTTCCCTGCCAAGAACTGCTACTTTCTCAAGGTCCTCTGGCCCCTTTTAAAGATCCTTGTTGGCCATCCAACATAACAATTTTCTGTCTACTGCTGCTGGCCATCTTTGAAAGCTCTCCTTCCTTTCGGTCTTTAAACTTCTCATATACTTATTCCATGATATAATCTCCAGGTCAGACTCTTGAATGTTCTCTTTTTTCATGCAATTCTCCTCCAGCTGGCAGAAGCTCTTTCCAGGTCTAGTGGGTCCTGAAGGACTTCAGATAGATGGTTTGGGCCAGTGCTCTTCCTCTCCGCAGGACCATTCACAATGATCCTGAGTGAATGAGTTCCTACCCTGTCCATACATTTCTCCTTGAGAGTTACAGCTGCAGCCTCCCTTGTTAACCCATTCTGTGATTCACCAGCCTTCATTTGACTTGCTCCAGGTTACAGAGCTTCTTCAGAAGTTCTTTTTTAGATCTTAAATATCACCGTCCTTTCTTCTCATTCCCATTGACTGAAGGGAAGAACATTCCCTATTTATAATATTCTTGCTTTATTTTAAACAGACCTGCCTGACAAACCCAAATCTGGTCATCCTTTCTCATGGCTTTTCCTTCATATGCAAGTATTGAGCAGTTCCGTGTCAGGAGACCATGCTAAATATATTACACACTTTGTCTAATTTAATACTCAAGCAGACCTTTCTGTAATTACTATTATTATTCCCATTTTGTAGATGGAGCAATTACTGGTAAATGGAAGAGGCATCATTTTAACCCAGGACTGTTCCATACCAAAGCCAATGCTCTTAGCCATAGTTCTGTGCTGGGGTCTCGGCAATCACGTCATTTGTCTTTCTTGGTTCAATTCCAAATTAGCCCTCAGTTAGTATGTTAGGTAGGCAGCACCTGGGGCTTGGGAGTGGGGATAGGGGTGGGGGTGGACTGACATTTCTGTCCTTCTGACGGTGCTAATTCTGCTCCCTAACTTTTGAGTGAGTTCAAATGACTCCACTTTGCCTCTTCCTACCTCTTCTTCCACCTGTTTTATAACCATTCTCTGTCCTACTGCCCCTTCACTTCTTCATTCATAAATCTCAAGTGACAGAAGGTCAAGAGGAAAGAGGCATGGAAACAAAAAAAGAAAAGTGATTCCTAACCTCTCTCCACCCTCCATAGTCCTCCTGTAGCTGATAATCATATTCTGTCCTTATTGTTTCCTACATTGTGTAGCTTCTTTCACGGGAGCTTCTCAATAGCCACCTCCAGTATGGCAACCCTGCCCGGGTCTGTATCCATTCTACAGATGATAGAAGTCCTGGGTGACTCAGTCTGTTAAGCATCTGCCTTCAGGTCAGGTCATGATCCCACGGTCCTGGGATCGAGCCCTGCCTCAGGCTCCCTGCTTAGTGGGGAGCCTGCTTCTCCCTCTGCCCCTCCCCCTGCTTGTGATCTCTCTCTCTCTCATCTCTCTCTCTCAAATAAATAAATAAAATCTTTATAAAAAGAAAGAAAGTCCATTGAATGAGGTTGTAGATTCACAAGTAGCTACTCAAGATGACGTGGCTGAAAAGTTGAAATTTGAAGTCAGATATTCTGTTCCTATGTGAGTTCCCTACACCTCACTCACTGATAATAAATGTTAGCATATATTTACCACTGTAATCTCATAATAGCAGAATTGGTTTGCAGTCCATTGAGAATGAGCCCTTGATGTTTGGTGAATTGTATCACTCCGAGAATATCTTCAATGCCACTGAATGTGAATATTTTAAATTTTACAGTGATGAACAACAGCGAGATTATTTAATGGAAAGACGGGACCTCGCCATTGATTTTATTTTTTCTTTAGTATTAATAGAAGTTTTGAAACAGGTAGGTCAGTAATTTAATGTTCCTTTTAGATAAGATTTATCTGAAAGCTACTTATGTTTTTAAAATCTAAGTTTTAAATTGTTCATGAATTTCAAATACTGGGTCATGTGAATTATGTTTATTGATTGCTAAAGGCCATATATAGTTACCAGAAGTACTGTTACTGATTTGATCCTTAATATTCCCTTCCAAGTTAAAAGCCATCTTTTTTTTTTCTTTTCAGATTCCACTTCATCCTGTAATAGACAGTCTAATACATGACGTTATTAACTTGGCTTTCAAGCACTTTAAGTACAAAGAAGGGTAAAGTAATTTTTCTCTTTAGAATTTTGAAGAAGTGGGGTACTTAAATCTAAAACAAGTGTGCTCTTTTTGGATGATGGGAGACCCCTCACTTGTCTAATCATATCTTATTTAGGTACCTTGGTCCTAACACTGGCAATATGCACATTGTGGCAGACCTGTATGCGGAAGTCATTGGCGTGTTGGCACAAGCTAAGTAAGTGAACTCAGTCCTTTACCATAAGAACTTGAGTGCCTTTTCTACTGCAGCCCAGCCCCGCTCTCAGGAAGGGGCTGTGTGTGAGCTAGCAGAGAGCTAGGCTCCTTTCTGCGATGGGTACCATGTCTCTGAAACTGACTAAAAGCTCCCTCAAAGCAAGTACCAAGTCTGTTTTCAGTTGTTTTCTCCATAGTCTTTTTTACCTGGCAGTTGGGCCAGGTCCTACCAGGAGTCCATGAGTTCCAGACTACTGCATCAAAGAAAGAAATGGACTAACCAAATTACTTTTCTCTCTGCCCAAATATTCCAAAGAAGTTTACCAGTTTTAGAAGTTTTGTTTTCTATATTCCATGAGTGGGTAGTTATGATATATATCATCTGTGAATGGGAAAATTCCATTCTAGAATGTCCCTCTACTATAGACCTTACTTAATTCAACTGAGCTAAAAATGTCCCAGACTCTGTCATGGAAACAAGTCAGAGGAAAATTCTCATTGCTAAATTTATCTGGCCCCATAACACTACTTAGCAGGCTAGAACAAAGTGGTGTTAGACTATTAGCAATAATATACTTCTTCCAAAAGTGATGTCACACCTTATTCACCCATCTTCATCTTATTCAACCCTGAGGCAAATCAGGCAAAATCCTGAATGCCAAGGTTAAGCAAAATGAGCCAGAGACAAAATATGAATCCAGGCCAAGAGGTGAGCTTAATAAAGCAACAGTGATGCCCTGATGCTTGTGAAATGCAATCCTCAGAAGGAGATTTTTATCTCCAAGAGATGGAACTTCCTAATTTAATAGCATGGAAATGCCCAGTTTATAAAAAAACAAAATTCTGTAAAAAAGTACTTACTCAGCAACCTTACCTAGTGAAAACAGAGACAAGAACTCAGGAAACAGACCCCCAAAATTCTTCGGTGTGACTTATTAAACCTGGTTTATCTATTCATCTCAACTGTATATTTTTTCTAACACATAAAATATCAGTGTTAGATGGGATAGAGGTAGATACACTGATGTCAGTGAGAAATATCAAGCTCAAAGACTAGCAGCAACAGAGAGGAAAGAAAAAGTAGCCAAAGCATACATAAGAACTAAACAATAGTGTTATCTGGGCCATTTTGCATGAGATTATATACTGACTTTTATTGCAGCCCATTGTCATAATTGTGGTTCATGAGTTATCAAGAAAAAAAAGCCCAATACATCTCTTTTTATTGCAATTGAATGATAAAAAGTATTGGCATTTTGAAGGGAGAAGCTTTAATTACCTAGCAAGTTGATTCACATGTATCAACCCCATACCTAGAAAAGATCAGAAAAATGAGTTATTGATGTGTATTTGGCTCATTTGTGTCAAACCCTGAAAATCTCAACATATTCCTGTGTAATTCCTTCTGTAGTTATCCCAGCCCAATTCTCTTATACTATCATTTGGAAAATTTAATTTGCCAAAAATGGCTTTTTGTGTTTTTCTTAGTTTTTGTGAACTATGCATAACAATATTGGTTACTGTAGAATGAGCTTCCTTAGCAATAGTGATTTTGAGTTGGTTGTGAATGAACTGAAAAACAATGTCATAACTAAGCCACATTCTAAGGTTATAGGAATTTCCATATTAGGTCAGATTTATATGATCCACCAAGCCAGTGTTTTCTTGCCAACCATGGCTTGTTTTAATTTCCATGATGTCAGTATTTGTCCCAATTCGGCAATAGTCGGGTATATGAAATGTCTCAATTTGGACAATGCTCCAATACTTTCCATTCATAAGAGAACCCCTTGGTCAGTGGCTTCTTATAGTAACTACAGTAGTGTATAGTGATCATAATGATATATTCTCAACCAGTCAATGTATAGATAACCTTTATTAATAGATAGTACAATCTTAAACTGGTGTCATAATCCAAATTATCACATTGCTTCCTTTCCGTGAGTATGCCAGAAACATTACTTGTCATTGCCTTAAAAAAGTACTGTTTCCTTTTTTCTCAGGGGGGAAAAAAGGATGTATGCTTATCTAGTACAGAGTGCTAAACTTGAGTAATATAACATTTCTAATTTTAGACTTTACATCTAGCTCCCAGTGGTAATGCATATGAAATATTTTCTTCATTATGAATTTAGTTATTAATGCTTAGTATTAGTCTTTAAGTTTTAGCAAAATCACTATTTTTGATCTTACCAATGATAATGCACTTAATTCCTATCATTAAGGGAAAAAGATTTTGCTATTTAGTGATGTTCACCCAAAGTGTTGATGTTTTGAAAGTCAGTTAAGTTTGACTTTTTTTAAGGTAAATTTTTTTTGGTTCAAATCTGGTATATTTATTTAAATAGTGATAATGGCCTCTAAGATACATAGATTTCAAAATTACTTTGTCTTTATGTGATATAATCATAATGTATATATTCTTAAACTCTCACTTTTATAATATGTACTCAACATTTCAAAGCAGTTTATTTTTAGAAGGATGTTCTAGTATACCAAAGACTGAGCAATCATTTAGTTACTGTATTTACTAAAGACAGCACAAAACACTAAAGGCACAGTCACTGAAAATGAATTAATTTTTCCCTAAAATTATTTTATGGAAAAATAGATTTTAAGTGCAAGTAGATTTTGGGATTTTTTTTTTAATGCTAAAATAGTATGTTTATGTCATCTGGGACTTTTAAAAGTAAAAGATAGCCATATTTATTCTTCCATGAAAAATAAATAGACTGCCAGCCACCCACTTGTGAGAATGTTGAACTAGTAAGTTATACAAGTAACCTGCCCTCTCCTACTGTTCCTTGTTTTAGTCATGGATTAGGGATAGAAAACAAACTTTCCTAAGTATCATACAGTCTCTAAGACAATATAACTCTAACCTGTAAGATTACTTTTTCCTTTTAAGCTTTCACATTTCAAAATTAAAATCCTTGGTAAGTTTTTTTTAGTGTTTGGGAATAACTTGAATAAAAATATAGTTTTTAAAAATCCAGTTGAGAATTGATAAATTTTTATAATCTTGATTAAAAGTGTCGTTCCCATTGCTTTGCACACCATCTCTGCCTCCCACCCTTTATCATCTCTGCCTAAAGACTCAGCCTTTGCCCCAACTCAAATCCCCAGAAATCTCCACTAATTATTCAGCTGAAAAGAGCCCTTTCATTCTCCTATGCCCTGGAGCCTCTTTAAGTGTATTATTCTCATAAAAGGCAATGTGAAATATGAGAAAATGATCTGGCCTGACCATTCCATCTCCCAGAAGGATCAGCGAGATCCCAGCAAAGGGTCGGGCACTAGCCAACACACCTCACAAATAATAATTATTATATTATTATTAAATTATGTTATTATATTATTACTATGTATTATGTAATAATTAATCTTATAAATAATATTCAATAATATAAATAATAATCATAATAATTAATTTTATAAATAATGATTATAATGATTATTTATAAATTAATGATTATAATCTTATTTATTATTATTATTTGCATGGTTCATGGTCAATTCTACATTGCTTTATCTTCCGAAACTGTACCCTGTTCTTAAGGCAGTGACTGTATTTCGTAGTTCATGACAATGTAAGGCAGCTGGAGTACAGTGGAAATTCCTGGAATTTGTGTCAGAAGACCTGGGTTTGAGTCTTCTTTGTCATGTTGATCTTCCACATCGGTTTCTTCATTTGTAAAATGGAAATGCGTTCACTGCCTAACTCAGTGGATTGTTGCGAAGGTAAAAACGTAAGAGTATAATGTGCAGAAAATATAAACCACCTTACAAATATACCTTATCGTTATTCCTAGTCCAGACTGGTGCTTCATAACCTTGAGCACAGCAGAATCACCTCTGGGGCTTGTTAAACAAGAGTCCTGGAACTCAGCCCCAGCGTTTCCTATTCGGTAGGTGTGGTGTGGGCCAATAAGGAGTGTTTTGCACAAGTTCCCAAGCAGGGCTGCTGCTGCTGATCTGGGGGACTTTGAGAACCACTGGTCCAGACAAAACATGGCACAGAGATTAAGCGTAGGGACTCTAGAGCCAGACATTTGGCTTGAAATTCTGGCTCTGCCACCTACCAGCTGTGCGACTTTATCAGATTAAGAAGTCTCAGCCTCAAGTTCCTTTTCTGTAAAAAGGGTATGATAACAGTACTCTGCTCAAGTTGTGAGGATTACATGATCGTGACGATAAAATGCAGGGTTCACTGAACTTTGCTTGGCATATCGTAGGTGCTGGATGTCTGCTTATAGCTGTCATCGGCTCCGTCCTCAGCATCACATTATTTCCTACTCTATAAGAAGTAGTTTAAGATGACATTGGAATTTGGATTTTATATTTTTCTCTTCCATTGCCTTCTTAAAAACCTCTTTTATTGTGAAATATATGTAGCAGACAAGAAGAAAAATCTGTAAATTGGTTTAGAAAAATATAGTTTTAACCAATTATTCCCAAACGAGCACCACGTACCCTCCTGCACCGGGGCCAAGAACGAGAAAAGGACCAGCTGTCGCCACGTCTCTGACACCAATTTACCAATCATGGCCCTCTTGTACTGCCTTCTGGTGAAACAATAGCTTCATGTTTACTGCCTACTTTATTTGTCCTTGGGTTTCTACCTTGAGCTGTCAAGAGTCGTTTCAACCTTCCAGGATTCTGTTAGTTGGCCTTTAACTTTTATGATCATAATAGCCCTCTTTAATCATTGCCTTGCTCCTAAATGACCTTTTCACATCTCTAGAACCTCAGGCTAATCATCTCAGGAAGCAAAACACAATGAATTTTAGAATGCTTTCCTTTTTCTTTTAACCAGCCATTTCAGAAATAGTTGGGATAACTTTTATGTATATGTTTCTCTACCTTGGGTACTTTGCAGATCTGCTACTATTTTCCAATCTCTTAGGATCTATTCTTTTTTATAATCCTATATGATAACGTTGTAGTAATTAATACTGTTAGTTATTAATATTTTACTGTTAGGCAATACAGACGCCTTAAGTTC